GGATATAAATCGGAGTCCACGTCAACGAAAAAAAAAGATAAGCGCTGCATTTTATTAATTATCAGCTCATTTCAAGATCAACGACCACAATAGGAGAACGCGGCATCAGCACTGGAAAGATAAGTTACTACTATTAATTAGGGATGCTCCGATCCACCTTTTTCACCTCCGATACCTAGGGTTCAGTATTGGCCGATACCGATCCGATACCAGTGAAGTTTTTTTTTCCATTTAAATAAATGTAGAATTTATATATCTGTGTGTGGAACTGATAATCATTCTTTCACAATCTACTAAATACAGACTACTTCATTATAAAGAAAAATAAACAATAAATATGAAAAATATTTATTTTTCATATTTGAAAAATATCCCCTTTTCCTCGCTTTCCGTCACTTTTAAATAGCTTAAAAGCGCCGTGCGCATTTTACTTTCACTTTCGAATTAGCGGCAGTTACATACAACGTCAAACTCACTTTAGCCTATATATAAAACACAGAACTTTTATTAACAAAACGAATAAAAATACGCCATGCTATAGGGCAGGCTATGCCTAACTTGCATAAAGTTTAAATGAATAAACTGGAAACAAGTAAACATGTATACTTTTTACATGTATACAAGTAATATATAACCAAATAAATGAGAAACGTAGAACGTTTATTAGCAAAACGAGTAAGAAAGATTGGAGGCACGGCATACACCTTGATGTCAAATAAAATAAATAAATGGCACAAAGTTTAAATAAAGTAAAAATCAGCAAACAATGTGGAACCAATTAAATAAGAAACGAATGTTTAAAAAAACTTCCAAAATCATCTTCGATAAATGGCAAAAGTCAACAGGCTTTTCAAAATCCAAAATATTGCCAAACAGGCGCTTTAGCATCTCGTTTCAAAACTAAATCATCCGCGATCATCTTGTCTGTCTCACCCCATTCTTCTTGTCAGTCAGCTTGACTCACTCTCCTCACTGGATAAATGAAATCTGATCTGTGATGCGACTGTCGGTCGGCACGCTGCATTGAGCAGTAGCGTTCAGTTTTTAATTGTAGTGTCTGTTCTTTTACTGAACTAAATGATTTTTATTATTATAAAAAATCTAAACGACGGTGGGGGTCGGTGCCACAGTGGGCAAGTTACGTAACCCGTGTAAGGCTTAACAACGGTATCACCGTCAGCACAGTCTATCGCGGCAAGCCTACAATGAAGTACATAAATAATATTTTGGCATTCAAATACATTGCGAATACGGAAACATTTGAGGCCATGGTGGTTGAATGAGAGACCTAACGTTGGTTTCAGTTTAGTTTTAGCCTAAATGAATTCGTTTTGGCTTGTTGTTTATATAGCTAGAGCTTCTTATATTTTTAATTCTTGTTTTTTTCAAAATACTGTTAATTGAAAGGATTTGTTGTGGAGTGAGGGGAACTAAAATAGCCTAGCTATGTTTACAGTGTTTATTATAATGTTAGTAAACATTTTGCTTCTGCATTTAGGACTTTTTCTGAATGAAATAATAAAATGCCACTTGTGCTTTTTTTGCTCTAAAAAAACAAAAAGAAATACGTGTAGCGTATTTTAACCATGTAGCAAACCTTTTTAAATATTTTGATAAATTACTGAAAAAAAAAAATTATGACTTTTTAAACCGTTTAAAGGTGGGGGAAGCGATTTTTCAAAAACACTTTAGAAAACTAATTCGGGCAAAGTAGCAAAACAAACTTGTAGCTAATCAGCAGTAAGGGGCGTGTCTACTCATGATGTGGAGGAGAGAGCGTTCAGTACACAGGACGGACATCAGCCGAGCCGAGCGACAAAAAGATAGAGATGTCGGATAAAAAAAAATTAAAGAGGAAAACGTCTGCGGAACAAAAGAAGGCTTAAGGCAAGAAGTAGGACCCGTGTATATATCAGATCCGCTTTCCAGCGTTGGAGAGAACTCAAGGAGCGGAAGGCCTGCGATTGCAGATTGAAGCCGAGGTTGCTTTGTTTCTTCTCGATAGGTGAGTAACACCGTGTCTGCGCCACAACAGCTAAAGTCTGTCTAGTACACTGGTCGCGAGCGACAAAGCGACCGTTGAAAATAATTTGAAATTTGTCAATGTGTCATAAAAAGAACGCAGCAGCAGCTTTCTGTCGGGGATTTGGCGTGTCGTGCCGCACCGCATCCAGTGTAGACCATAGATAAATAGATAGAGATATATATATATGGTGTAGACAGCATCACTGATTATAATGAGTTCTATAGTATTTTGTCGCGCCGCTCGCGTCCGGTGTAGACACGGTGTAGCATTGGTTTTGCTTTGTTTCATAGAACTAATCGTTGTCTGGGTTGCTTACGTATGTGTGGGGCGGAGCTATCAAAATAGGGGCGAGACCCTTTTGGGGTAGGGGCGTGGTTGTTTTGGTGATTTCAAATGTCAAAATTGGCTACCAGAAATCGCTTACCCTACCTTTAACCCTCTGAGGTCGACTAACGCGGATACACGTTTTGTGGCATCTTCTCCTGATAACACCGAAAATAACTTAAATTACACTTTCAGTTTTGATCTGACAGATAAGAGCAATACATCAATCGAATCTGTACATGGTCTACTTTTATTTGTATACACACATAATAACAGCAAAACTTTGTGCATTTATAAAATAAAGAAAACAAACATGGTGCGCTGTCTGCGGCCTTGGTCTGCGTGATCTTTATTTAGAAACGCGTCATTAAAATGAACTAACTCAGCAAATACTCAACAAAGAGACATGAGAGATATATCTATAGAAAGCTTGACATGTCTACTTTTAAACTAAGCAAGTCTTATCGAAAGCAAATATTCTGTGATAAAGTAATCCATATGAAACCAACGCGATGTCCAGTCTTTCACGTCTCCCTTTGAAATTTGAAACTTCCACATCATTGCATTCTGTTTTTATTCACAATTTGTACAGTGTCCCAACTTTTTTTGGAATCGGGTTTGTACATGTTGTTTATTGTCTCTAAAGATTACTTAATTATTAGTTATGTTTTACCAAGTTTAATGGCTGGCATTTGGATGTTAAGAAGATTAAGACGCAGCAAAACGATCTGTGTGAAAAAGATGTCCAAAAAAGGTGAGCATAAAGTACATACAGTATTTTAATTTATTGTTTAATGTGAACATCATTAAGAAATACTTGAAAGATAAATAATTAAGAACATTAACTTTTTTTTACATAGGCCATTTGTAACTGACTAGCGTTGAGGATTTTGTAGCAACAAGAGCTCTGTAAAACAGATGTCCAAAAAAGGTGAGCATACAGTATATTGATCACTGTTATGAGCATGAATCATTGTGAATAAACTTACAAAATATTAATAATTAAAAAAGTTACACTGTAGTCAGAAATAACTCCGCTTGGTCAACAGAGGGCGCGCGCGGGAAAGAAAATGTGGGAAAAGGGAACAGGAGTCATCACGAGAGGCGTGTCCTTTAAGGTACAGTAGGACGTAGGCGATCAGCTGAGTAATACTGTAATAATTATATTTATAATAATTAAATTAATTATGGCGATATGTAAATCTTAATTATGTTTTCTTTATTAAAAATGTAATGGTGTTCTCTTTATTAAAAAGGTTTTTAAAAAAATTTTTTTTAAATATTTTTAATGTTTTTTTTTTATGTTGCTAGAATGAATTTGTTACTGAAATGTTCTGATCTAGCCTACAGTAACAGAGGTACATTTAATGTGAGCCAGTGATTTTAATAGCAACAGATTTAATTACGCGTCCGTAACGGTCACGTCCGTAACGCATAATTAAGGTTGCTTAGAGCAAGTAAGTGAGATGAATTGTCCATCATAATTAGCACAGCCATATTTTGGCTTTGTATATGAAGTTTGACATTATTTCTATTAATATTTATTATACAGTATAAACTTTATATTTAAATCGTTAGGGACGTGACACAGCACTGAAGCGTCATGACTTCCTAAATATATCGCTTATAAATTTACAAGACAGTGCTGTCATAAAGCGAGTGTATTTATTTCTCATGCATCCCCCCATCTTTCTGCAAAATGCTTACTGTTAATATAAAGTATAAAAAAAGGGAGTCTTTGATCCCTCTTTTGAAAGCATGAAATATGGTTGACTGAAAATGCAACTTTTCTATCTGTGCAAACCTCATATGTGGTGAATAAACAAAGCAATTTCCTTAAAATTTCCCTGACAGCACATCAATACAATAAAATACAGACCTTAAAGCACAACTTTGAAAGGGTTTTGTTATTTTGGTAAAAAAAAAAAATAATTTTCATGGCAAGGTTGACATTTGCATGGAATTGCTCATATACCTTTTCTACACAAAAAGTGTCTTAGAAAATTTAAATCAATATATTGTTTTCTGTGAATGAGTGAGTAAGATGATTTTCACATAATTTTGAAGCAAAAACACTAGACTTCCAAGATCAGTTCTCAAAAGTCTTGTGATCAAATGTTCTGTATGTGTTGTATGGCCTTATTTCAGTGACTTTAAAATTGTAGTTTTTCACTAAGCACGCATAAACGTTGTTGTTTTCTCAAAAACACAATCACGTACATACATACTGCTCACATATTATTGTAGCCCAGTTTGTGCCGATTACGGTGTTATTAAACTTTAGACATTCAAATGTTTGTAAGCAACTGAAAAAAGCACAAATGTCAGGGCGTGTCAAAACTTTTCCAGGCCCCAAAACACCCTCGGACCCCAGAGCGTTAACTGATTGTATTAATCGGTTAAAATTCTTACGGTCGCTTAACGGTTAAAATGAGCATCCCTACTTAATATCCTAATGATTTTTGGCATAAAAGAAGAATCTATAATTTTGACCCATACAATGTATTGTTGGCTACTGCTACAAATATACCCATGCTACTTATGACTGGTTTTGTGGTCCAGGGTCACAAATGGTAAATATAGAAATGCAATATCAAATAATGGATAACCTGCATTTTTTCAACTTCTGAACTAGGCCTAGTAGTCTTACCTTAAGCCATTTGCATGGTGGCCAAAGGCCTGTGGCGGTCCTGAAGAATGAGCCACCGAGGTGGGGGTGCTCCAGGGGCCATTCCATAACAAGTTCCCCATGGAGAGGGGTCTTCTGGGGTAGGGCGAGTAGGCTGAGGAGGAACTGGTTCCAGGAAGTCTTCCATGCTGGGGCTGGAGGCTGGGCCGGTTGGCCTGCCCCGCAGTGAAGGAATGCCGTGACCGGCTTAGCATGGGTCCGGCGGTGCTGCTATTGCTCATGCATTGGTGACAGGTACAGGCCGGGCCCGAGTGAATAACCGAACCTGAAGCGAGAGGATACGGCATGCTACCTTGCCGCCTGACACGTCGTCTGTAACTGGTGGACTTGTTGACTTGCTCCAAAGCAGTGAGGTCCACAATGTAGTTGTAGCCGTGTGAGCTCAGATCAGCTGTGGCCTGCCCTGCCTGGTAGCTGTGCTCCAGCAAAATGGAGGTTCGGATCTCATACGCCATCCACCCTCCTTCATCATTGGCCCACTCCCAAAGAACCCCACTGCCCAGAGCAGAGGACTGTGGGAACAGGGATCTCCGCACAGCGCGTATCTTTCCTATAAAGGATTAAAGAAAAAAATTCACAGTAATTGGCACAAGATCATTATCATTCCAAAAAACATCTACACATTTCTCAACCACAACAAAGTGCTTCTCTTCTAAAACAAATGTGAAAAGAGCGGTTTTTATCCACAAAACATGCTGTGCATCCTGTCAGAATCTGTTAGCTTATTTCCTGAGATTTTTGTCACCTCTTTCCTGTTCTTTTCCGTAGAGACCACAGGTGTCGAAAACCATTCAAACATCCCCAAAAACAAGCCTAATCTCCAGTTAGCAGACCCAGCGCTATATATATATATATATATATATATATATATATAATAGCCTGTGTGTAATACTGCATTACTACACAACTTTACCCAGAGGGTTTAATGACCTGTTATCAAGGATGAAGCATAAATATTATACATTTAGAGCAACTGAATTTCCAGGATTCACACTAGGCTTCTTTCACTCTGTAGATTATAGAGACACTTCCTTGACTACTGATAACACATTTACTTAATCCAAATGAAGCAATAAGTGTGTCTTCTTAACACTGTTTTACAGTAAAGAACTGTGGCGTTACCAGATGGTAATATCATCACGTAGCATAGTATATGGGTCAATAATGTAAAAATGTCCAAGATGATTTAAAAAATCTTTCAAAATCTAGTATAAACTGCAAGTATTATATGTTCTTAGAAACTTCATCAGTGTATTAATGCAAAAACAAGTCTCCATACCACTATAAACAATTATCAAAAACAAGTAGGCTATTAATATTTCTCTTTCAATATACATGGCTTAAAATTGTTTATTTTTAAAGTAAAATAACTTTTTTAATATTATCTTAATTATAGTAATTTATTTACATATGAGCAAAGATGCATTAAGTTTATCAAAAGTGACAGTAAAAGACATTATTTTATCGAATTTTACTTCAATTTCAATCATTTATTTTTTTCAAACTTTGTATTTCTCCAAGAATACTGAAAAAAAAGCTACTTGATAAGTTTTCAACACTGATGTAATAAATAAATGTTTCTTGAGCACCAAAAAGAATGATTTCTGAAGGATTGTGTGACCCTGAGGACTAAAGTAATGGCTGCTGAAAATACAGATTTGCTATCACAGGGGGGAAAAAATCACATTTTAAAATTTACAGAAAAGGTTCTAATATTTTGGAGTTTTACTATTTATTTTACTTAATTTAGATGAAATATATGCAGCCTTGGTGAACACTCGCAACTTATTGACTCCAACATTTTGAATGATTGTGTGTGTGGAATAAAACTGAGGGTTAAATCGTGAATATCAGAATGTTGACGATGTACTTCCAATAAACTTCACCAAAGAAAAAAAACACCAAAAAGCACTATGGTACCAGGATATTTTGGGATATGTACCATAACAAGTCCACAGTAGTCTGAAGTTTAACATAGATGGTATTGCTTCATATTCAGCACAATATCAACCACCACAGTACTGTTAGTAACTCTTGTTCATCAGTAGCGTGGTGAGACAGATGTCTGAGGTCCCACTCACCAGTGTCCTGTCTGAACTGTCTGAGGTTGGGGATGTCGATGATGTACGCAGACAGGCTGGGGTCTGCCTGGGCCAGACAGATGCCGTTGCTGTTGGCTCCTCTCTGGAGACACTGCTCGATGTAGCTGCTCACCTGTCCGGTGTAGGGCCTCCAGAAGCCCTGATCATCCTGCCATTCCCAAACCACCGCCATCGGCTGAGCCTGTCCCGGCACTCCAGACGAGGAGGACGACGGTGATGCGAATGACGGTCCGTTTCTAGATCCACTCCCTCCGGAATGGAAACTGGAGCCTGTTGCCATTTTGTCTGTTAGAAAAGATCTCACGCGCCCGCCGGCGTTCTTAAAATAAGCGATCTGGCCCAGCTAACAACAACAACACCCTTTCAGTTTCACCTGATTTACATCCAGCTAGCCTGCTAACTAGTCGTATTCAGTAAGAGATCGATTAATATCGTCACCACAGTGTTTTATTCAGCAGTACGCGGTTATTTAACCGCAGATTCGACCATGAACCCACTGACGTCGCATCATCTCGTTAGGCTGCTGGAGTCGCAGCTTCAGACTAACGTTAGCCGCGTCTCGCTCTCCTCTTCGCCATTCAGTGCGTTACTGTACGGCTACCGGGCTTATAAACCAGTATCATAGGATATAACGGTGACTATTTAGTAGGCAGCAGACTGGAGTTGTCAGGTCGCGAATAAAAACGCACCACTCGACATGATTTTGAGAAGTACGCACTGGGTTGTAGCGCTATAGTGACTTCCTCGCCTGCGGTGTGTGTTTGTGTCGCTGCTGCTGGTAGATACACACTGTGAAGCCCGACACAGAATACACCTGTCTGGAAATCTGACTTTACCGTTTCCGTCATTTTTTACAGGTTTAAAATAAAAATAAAATGCTTTATTTTTTAATTGCTATATTTTTCTTCTGGTACTACTATTGCTTGCCGTTAATCCCACTATAGCAAATATTAAAACTTGTCTCTGGTAAATAATGTCTGCACGGCGGGAGACTTTTATTTTGAAAGTATTTATAAGCCAACTTGACAAATGGCAAGCTAAAGGTTCCTCTACACTTTTTAGAAAGAAGTATCGTACATATAACGTTACGTGCTATTTGTAGTATTATTACACTTTTTTTTTTTTTTTTGCTGTTTGCTGTCAACCGCTGCGACAGGATGATTTGGAAGAACTAGACTAGTCTGATTCGTGAACGAATGTTTTGTAAATGAAGCGTTTGTACGTGAACTGAATAATAAATGTTTTTAGTAAACACATTTTATATTAAGTTATTTATGTTCCGAAGAAAGCCGTATTTGCATCAATATTATGGCAATTAAATTCTGACAGAATTGTCATTTTTTGGGTGAACTATCCTTTCAGCAGTCTTTAATTAATGCTAATTTAATTTATATGTATAAAAAATAATAAAATAAAAAATTTAGCTACTCTACCATGGGTGCCAGCAGCCAACAATTGAGTGTTTTAACTATAGATATGTCTATGGTTTTAACTTTAATCATTTTATGAAATCTGACATACCTCATAAAACATCGCACACATTCAGAAAGTTTAACTAAAAACTTAAGATTGAACGTAGAACATTTTTATTTTATTCCAATTGAATTTAAGGAAAAAATAAAACTACTGTAATTCTGCACTGTAATCAGTTTACTAAAAAAGGTCAAATGTGTGATGTTGTCTTTAGCCCAGCAGATGGTGCTACTGATGATTTTATGTCTTTCACTACATAACACTATCATAATCACACAAACGCAAGGCAACACATTTTATTTGAAAGGCCTAAATGGCATTAAGGTACAGCATATAAATACTGGCGATTCCAGAGACAGTCATTACATAATAACATTATAGCATTCTTTCCTTTACAAACGATACATTCATGATGTTTTCTCCTTGAAATATCTCACTTTGCCTTACTTTAACAAACTTAAGAGTAACTTACAAAGCTAAAATAATACAAAAAGTCTCTCAGTTGAATACAAGTTAGTGCTATCATGTTAGGGTTTTCCAACTTGACATACTGAAACCTGAAGCAGATGTTTCTTTCTGAATACATACAGTAGCTAGCTTAGCATCACTAGTCATGTCATTCGGTACTTTATGCTCTGTACTAAATGTGGTAGATTACATTCCCTGCATATACAAGTTTTTTTTTATTTTTTTTATAAATAAATAAATAACAATACAAACATTTGCAAGGCATGAGACCCAGATAACTACAGGACTCGTATCCAGTATGCACATACTGTACGAGCTCTCGGCACCAAACAAGGCTGTGTATCCCAACAGTGATTAGACGTATTTGGGGGGGGGCGGAAATCCCATTTTGACTGCTCTTTATGAAATGGTTATTTAACCATGATTGTGTCCCAGGATCTGCTATAACAAATCCTGGTGGCAAAGCAATATAGTAATTCTGATACGCAAATAACGGCTACTCCTTTTACAAACAATCTCTTGAAGGAATAGTTCTGTCCTTATTCACTCCCCTCATGTCGCTCCAAGCCTGTATGTTGTTACTCTACCAGTGGAACACTTAAAGGAATAGTTCACCCAAAAAATTTTATTTCCTGAAAATGCACTCAACCTCAGGCCATCCAAGATGCAGATGGGTTTGTTTCTTCATCTGAATAGATTTGGATAACTTTAGCATCACTTGCTAACCTATGGATACTCTGCAGTGAATATGTGCCGTCAGAATGAAAATCCAAACAGCTGATAAAAACATCACAATAATCCACAAGTACAGGTGCATCTCAATAAATTAGAATGTCGTGGAAAAGTTCATTTCACATGACTCCAGGCTATCAAATAATGTCTTGTGAAGTGAAAATCTGTGTTTGTAAAAAAAAATAAATCATTATTACTACATTACTTGTAGTGTTTTTATCAGCTGTTTAGACTCTCATTATGACGGCACCCATTCACTGCAGAGGATCCATTGGAAGCAAGAGATATAATGCTACATTTATTCAAATTTGTTTTGATTAAGAAATAAAACCATCTACATCTTGGGTGGCCTGAGGGTGAGTATATTTTCAGCAGATTTACATTTTTGGATGAAGTATTGCTTTAAATATCAGTTTTTGACTAATCTTCACACAGAACAAATCTTTTACATGATTTCTATTTTTGCATTTCACCAAAAAATCTAAAGCATTCGCTTTGGACTGACATGAGGGTGAGTACTATTCCTCTAAGTAATAAAGCACTGGCAGATTGATTTACTGCTGTTTTTCCATCATTAGCACTTCATTCAGAAACAACTGCATCCAACAGTTCACACTCTCTGATACACACAGGCATCTCCACGTGCGAGCCGCAGGATCTGCCACAGCTCTGAAGAAAGCTGAATTTAGCATTCAGAAATGTCAGGTTTAAAAAAGTTCCCTTAACAGTAGAAGTCTTTTGTACGCCATCAGAAAGTTCATTAATATTTGACTTTTCCAGGAACTTGAACATTCACTCCACTATAGTCCACCATGTACATGGGCCATTGCTGAAAAAGAAAAAAAAAGGACTTTGTAATAGTAGCTAATTTAGCGAAATCAGCCATTTTTAAGTTTGACATGAAAATTCTATGGTCCCCATTTACTCTCTTAATACATGTCCATAGTCTAATTGTGCAAAATTAATCTGCATTTGAAACATTTTGTGCTTTAACGAAAGTGCTGGCTCTGGAATGACTTTTCAGTTGCCTGTATACAATATAATTCAAAAGTCTGCGTTCTGTACGATTTTTGAAAGAAGTCTTTTATGCTCACCAAGGCTGCATTGATTTGATCAAATATACATTAAAACAGTAATACTGTAAAATATTATTACAATTTAAAATAACTGTATTTCATTTTAATAGATTTTAAAATGTACTTTATTCCTTTGATGGCAAAGCTACATTTTCAGCAGTCATGACTCCAGTATTCAATGTCATATCACATGATCCTTCAGAAATCATTCTAATATTCTGATTTTGTGCTCAAGAAATATTTCTTATTATTATCACAATTAAAAACAATTGTGCTGCTGAATACTTCTGGGGAACCTGTGATACTTTTTTTTCAGGATTATCGATGAACAGAAAGTTTAAAAACAGCATTTTCTGAAATAGAAATCTTTTGTAACATTACAATTTTGTTTGATCAATTTAATGTATCCTACTATCCCCAAAAATTCTTACTAACCCTAAACTTTTAAACAGTAGTGTAATGTTAACCAGTAACTAACTGATTATTTAATGGTAGCATACTCGCATTTAAGTCTGGCTTAATTCTGCACACGAGGCCCACTTTTCAAAATCAAATCAATTCCTGTTTGATAAAATCAAGTCCCACTCCACTTTTTTTTCCCCTCACTGAATATCTTGTTCAAAAAATGTTTTTCATTATACAAGTAAACTGGGCTGAAAATGCCTTTTAATGACAAAGAATAAATAAAAGAGTGTAATTAGAAACCCACTCGTCTGCTTACCATGACAGGTATCTGATTGGTTGATAGTGTTGAGTCTGCTCCAGTGGGCATGGATGCTTGACTGTTGTCAAGTACTCGTTTACGTTTGCGTCGATTCGTAGACACTTCTTTACCTTCTACAAAAGAAGATTATATATATATATATATATATATATATATATATATATATATATTTATTTATTTAAGCAAATTAGCATTTGTAAACATTTACTTTTTTTTCTTCAAAAGTGAAATAAAAAGTACACTAATAAGGCTCTTATATATATATATTTATTTATTTAAGCAAATTAGCATTTGTAAACATTTACTTTTTTTTCTTCAAAAGTGAAATAAAAAGTACACTAATAAGGCTCTTACCTTTATTACAAGATTGAGTACATAACTCTGTAAAAGGCCTAAATAAAGACACAATCAAGATCAAACAACACTTAAAGTACAACAGAGTCTCTAAACACAGCAAGTATTGCTCTTCCGACACAATCACTATAATTAGGGATGCACCGATACCACTTTTTCCAGTACCTGCCCGATACCGATACTTTTATTTTTGGTACTTGCCGATACAGAGTATCCAAATGATGCGTGCTGAGTGAGTGAACATCAAAGATCACACAACAGAAGTGCGCGCGCGCTCTCTCTCTCTCTCTCTCTCTCTCTCCCTACCGTTAAGTAACTTGTGCATTTTTTTACTTACTTGTTTTTGACATATCCGACCAAACTACAGACTTTCCAATGATATCTGTGAAAAAGGGATATTCACTCGACAAGCTCGCACATCTGCGCCGCCGCGCGCTCAATCCACTCAGCGTGCTTTGTTTATCAGCTCGCGCACATCAGCTATACAGGCGTTAATACTGAATGTTTAGCATTATATTCATTGCATACATATACTTCGTAGTAGACATCCTTAACTCCATTCTGCTGTCTGTTGTTCTGTTGTCGGTGTTTCTTTGTCTGAATATGGCGCTTAACACATGCTGTGTGGTATCGGCGTTTGATATCGGGGCATTTTAATGAGTACGAGTACGAGTACAGGAGACCAGTATCGGGGCCGATACGGTGCATCCCTAACTATAATCATATCTGACATACTATAGCACTTACTGTAGTGGGGTTTTGATATTGAAAGTAATTTCATCTTGGGCCTCCAGGATTTTTTCCAACCGAACTATGTCGTAAGTATTAGGATTCCTGAAGGGAATATCATCGGGAAGTCCACACACTTCCAGTGAGCCTGGATTGGCACGGATTAACTTGTATGGAACAATGACTGAGCGGTCCAGACCCAAAGCTTCACCTGAACACAAAACATTC